TGTGGCCCCTTTGGAGGAACTCCACTGTATGCCAAGGTCAGGCGCTGTTTTTGATTTCTCAGGGCTACCTGGTGGGAACTACAAAGCGATCTGCAGATGATTATTGCCTATGCCGGATCTATAGGTAAGTGGAATAGACAACGCTACAGGCATGGTCTAGTTATCCCCTGTCCTGATGTAGGGCAGTTATCAGAGGGACGAGTTCTCCTCAAGGCCTGACACTGCCTGTCAGTTGTCTGTAAAACTCTGAAACTGAAAGAGCCTCTGAGTGATATGCATGTAGGGTAGTGCATGGACCCTGGGAATCACCTGGAACTATTGAGTAAATTTCCCCATGCCACTGCAGTGTCAGTTTACATGGCAGCACTGTCTTTGTGACTCCCTGTATAATTTTCCAATCATAGTAAGGCCAGCTGCTGCCCACCTCAGGCCCAAATGCACCACCCCTGGGCAGGGGCAGCTGCTTATCAATGTGTGGTGGGCACTTTGTTTATTGGATGGGACAAAAGCTCAGGGAATCAGGGGCCATCTGACCAATAGCCTCAGTTTTCTGCAATTTCTGTCTGCACATTCCTTCAGTTATCACAGATCTCCTGGAGACAAGCAGCTGTCTGGGGCAGTCTCACAGACCCTTGCGATCCCCTCAGGAGATATTGCAGCTTGGACAGATAGCAGTGGTCTGCCCACAACTGTTTTCCCCAAAATACGCTCACTGTACTAGCTAAGATCTGTTGCCTGTGAAGGATACACAACTCCAGAGACAAGCAGGGCAGGGGAGGCTGCCTGTCAATGTGCTGTAGGCACTTTGTGGCTTGGTTGAAGTGGGATCTCAGGGAGACAAGGGCCATCAGGCCAATACAATCTTAGTTTTGCTTCAACTTCTGTGCCCAGGCTTTCCTGCTGTAGTCACAGATCACAGTGAGAACTGCCATCTGAGGCAGTACCACAGATTCCTGTGATTCCCACACACAATATTGCAACTCTTGCAGGCAGCAAAGGTCTCTCTGAAACTGATTTCCATACAGTGCCAGCTCTGTGATAGCCAAAGTTTGTTGCCTGTGTGGATTGGGAGAAGGTGGGGAGGGGACAGGGCCATGGTGGTTTAGTGTCAGTGGGTCAGTCCACCTGGGGCAATTTGTGGGTTGGATGGGGTGGGATGGGGCCTCAGGGAGATAATGGCCTTCAGATCAATACATCCTTGCTGCAACTTGCGTAACCGTTCACACGGAAGTCCCAGATCACAGCAAGACCAGCTGCTCTCTGAGTGTAACCCAGAGATCCCCAAGATCCTCTCAAGTTCATGTTGACAGCAGTGATCTGCCTGAAACTGCCTCCAAATGGTGAGTTCACAGTGTTGGCTACCAGCTGTGAATGTTTGGCTCTGACCTGGTACAGGGCCTGGCAGCCATCCAGTAACAAAAGCCCAGGCAATCTGCAGGTTGGGTGGGGTGGGCTGATCTCCACAGGCCAACACTTCCTAATGGCCCTGTGGGAGAGTTCTGCAGTCAAGCTGGAGTGGCCTGTAGACTGCCCCGCAGAGGAGCCAGACTAAAGAACAATGGTGGCTGCCTGTCCAGCCCTCGTTCTAGTGCCAGGTAATGCAGACTTTCTCAGTATGAACCCCGCACAAGCCTCTGAGCCACCACTGGTGTCCTGGGTGAGTGTCCACAGGTCAGAAAGTCTGTGCATGGGCCCTTCAAAGGGGCATCTAGAGTTTCAGTCTACTTTTGTCTCACCCAGATGGCCGGAATCCCCTTTTGTTTTGACAATTAGAGTTAAAGGAAACTCCTCTCCCTCCGAATGAGGCCTGGAATCCCCTCTCCTTCAGGGAAGCCTCTGCAGCCTTGCTCTCCCTCTCAGTGATCCTCCACCACCAATGGGTGCGGGTCCAGCTAGATTCAGGATTTTGGCCCTCCTACTGGCTTCTTTGTGGCTCCTTCTTTATATTATCAGAATTACATGTTATGATCAGCTGGGCTTCAGGTGATTCTCCACGTTGATTATTTTATAATTTGGTTGCAATTTCAATGTGGACCTGGGAGGAGGCGAACCCTGCTTTTACCTAGTCCGCTATCTTCCTCTTCCCAATTGGGCCTATTTACTTTTATAAGGGTATACTTTCTACTTCTTTGATTTCTATTTTTTTAATTACATTTATTGGGGTCACATTGGTTAATAAGATTATATAGGTTACAAGTGTACAATTCAATAATACATCATATGTATATTGTATCGTGTTCACCATGGAAAGTCAAATTTTAATTTTATAGTTTTTATTTCTCTCCTGGGATTTTTGTCTTTTAACTCATTGCATGCATACTGTCCTTTACATCCTTAAGTATATTTATAATAGCTGCTTTAAAATCTCTCTCAGCAATTCTAACACGTAGGTCATTTTCACTGATTGTTTTGAGACCCAATATCAAGTAATTTTAGACTATAACATGAATATTTAAATATTACACTTCAGTTTCAAGATTCTATATTCTTCCAAAGAATGTTGATTTAGCAGGCAATTACCTTGTTTTGTCTCAAAAGGAAATATGTCTCTTGTATGGGAGCTCAAATATCAGTTAAGTTTTTTTGACCTATAACTGAACTGTTAATAACCATTTTCATACATTCTGCTTTAGGGTTCAGCCTGAAACTTTCATATAGTACATATACAGAATTTGAGACCCTTCTCTCTTCTTATCTTCTTACTGAGATTCTACTCTTATTCTCCAGCCACTGTGGTTTCCCTAAATTCTTTCCTTTGGTCCTTCATGCAAAAAAGACTAGGAGATTTGTATTAGAATATTTGATGTCTTGTGTGACACTTCCTTTGACTTATACTCAAAAATTTATAGATAAATACTAAAATTTATCTAGATAGAAACGCATCATGCCATCTCTTCTTCTAAGTTTGGTCTCCCCTTCAGTATCTGCCCACTTTTGTTCACTCTCCAGTTCTTCAGATCATTGTATATTTATTTTTTGCAGTTTCTAATTATATGTGGGAAGGTTGAATGTGTGATTTATGATGCTGGAAGAAAAACTGTCTCATTGAAGAATTGTTTTATTTCAGATATTGTATTTTCCCATTCGAGTTTCCTTTTGCTTTTGGAATTTTTATACCTATTCCAAAATTATCCATCACTTTATTTATTATATCCACCTTTCTATGTATATTCTTAAGCAGATTCATAGTAGTTATTTTATAGTATGTGTCTGACAATTCCAGTATTCTCATTGTGTGGGTCTTTTCAATAATTGTGTTTTTTGGCTATGAATACATTTTTTTCCTGCTTCTTTACATTTAGTAATTTTGATTATTCATTGGGTACTGTGGAAAGTATATTGTAGAATGTCTGTATTCTGTTATTGTA